AGATCCTCACACCACCTCCAGCTGATTGTGGCAAATACTCCACCCCTCCTTCCTCTACCGAGTGCAGCTCATGACCTCCCTCTGACTCGGTCGAGTAAACGGAGGCTGCAGAGAAAGAGGGCTGCCCAAACTGCTGCATCAGCCCCAGAGCGCCCTCCAGTGTCGGCTCCAGCCCCAGAGCGCCCTCCAGTGTCGGCTCCAGCCCCAGAGCGCCCTCCAGTGTCGGCTCCAGCCCCAGAGCGCCCTCCAGTGTCGGCTCCAGCCCCAGAGCGCCCTCCAGTGTCAGCTCCAGCCCCAGAGCGCCCTCCTTGCCCTGCCGGCGCCACCCAGACGTCTTGCCCTGCCGGCACCAGCCCGGCTTCTTGCCCTGCCGGCGCCACCCAGACGTCTTGCCCAGCCGGCGCCACCCAGACGTCTTGCCCAGCCGGCCCCAGCCCGGCTCCTTGCCCTGCCGGCGCCACCCAGACGTCTTGCCCTGCCGGCGCCACCCAGATGTCTTGCCCTGCCGGCCCCAGCCCGGCTCCCTGCCCTGCCGGCCCCCCTCTGGTCTCCAGCCCTGCCGGCTCCCCTCTGGTCTCCAGCCCTGCCGGCTCCCCTCTGGTCTCCAGCCCTGCCGGCTCCAACCCAGCCGCTTCTAGCCCAGCCGGCTCCCCACCGACCTCCTGCCTTGTCTCCTCTGATAGATTGTCCCTGGATTGTTCCTCCTGCTCCACCTTGGTGTGCCCCTCTCCCACCCTGGACTGACCCTCCGGCTCCACCCTGGTTCCTTGCTGGGGCCCCCGACCTGCTGTCCCCACCCTGGACTGTCCCTCCTGATCCTCCCTGGTCTTGCCCTCCCATCCCTCCCTTGTTTGTCTTGTTGGGTCTGGCTTGGCTTCCCTCCCTCCCCCCTTCTTCATGTCGTCTTGCCTGTTCACTACCCTGTCTTGTGTCTGATGTTGTCTTGTGGTGTTTCTTGTCTGTCTTGTACCATGTTGGATGTTCCCTTTAGGGACGCCAGGTGGCGTCCCTTTTGGGGGGGGCTAGTGTCAGGGTTCTGCCACTCTGGTCTTTGTAAATTCTTGTTTTGGTAGCAGAGCTCTGACACTACCCATGTCCGGTCCTGTTTCTGTCTCTGTGTGCGCGCGTGCCGTCAAGGGTGTACGCAGAGTGTGCGCGATGCCGCTTGATGTGGCCGCGCACACACTGCGTCCGTCAGACGCGCGCGCTCTTGTACTAGTGTTTGTTTTTTCGTCTGTCAGCAGCGTGGTGTTTCATTCCCAGCGTCTCAGTCTTGTTGGTTTCGGTTTTGGTCGGCGCTGGGATGAAGCATGCACGCTGCGTGTGTGAGTGCACGATGAGTGCTTTCATTCATCGTGTGCTCGTGTCTTGCGTCTTTTGTCAAAGCACGTGGCTCGGTGTTTACATTGTGGTCACGTGCTTTTGTCGTGTGCTTCAGTGTAGTGTTATGTGAGCGCATGGCTTGTATTGTCTCTCTGTGTCATGCGCTCTCCCGTCTATTGTCTAGTCCAGGGGTCGGCAACCCGCGGCTCTAGAGCCGCATGCGGCTCTTTAGCGCTGCCCTAGTGGCTCCCTGGAACTTTTTCAAAAAATGTTTGAAAATGGAAAACGATGAGGGAGGTAAATATATTTTTTGTTTTAATATGACCACATGTGAAGCTCACGATTACATGTGTTCATGTGACCACATGTGAAGTTTATGTGACCACATGTGAAGCTCACGACCACATGTGTTCATGTGACCACATGTGAAGTTTATGTGACCACGTGGACAACATGTGAAATTCATGTGGCCACATGTGAAGTTCGTGTGGCCATATTTGAAGTTCATGTTACCACATGTGAAGTTAATGTGACCACATGTGAAGCTCACGATTACATGTGTTCATGTGACCACAAGTGAAGTTTATGTGACCACATGTGAAGCTCACGACCACATGTGTTCATGTGACCACATGTGAAGTTTATGTGACCACGTGGACAACATGTGAAATTCATGTGGCCACATGTGGACAACATGTGAAGTTCATAGGGCCACATGTGATCACCTTTGACCACATCTGAAGTCAATGTGAACTTTTTCAAAAAATGTTTGAAAATGGAAAACGATGAGGGAGGTAAATATATTTTTTGTTTTAATATGGTTTCTATAGGAGGACAAACAATCTTAACGTTTTCCAATGCTGTAAAAGTGTGTAGAATATTTAATTTCAACATTTCTGTCAACAAAGATTTGCGTCATAGCCTGCGACACACGTTTCTATCAGCAGGGCGGGATGCCAGGCAGGTAGCTGTTGTAAACAAACCGGCGGCTGTGTGATGCGCCATGGAGCGCAAGCTGTCTTTGCCAAAGATGTACAGCGGGGCACGCTTTCTCATTTTCCCTCCCTGAGAGAATTCAAAGAAGCCCATCCCGATCACTCACTCAACGGTGATTATTTACAAGGTGCGATCGTTGATATGCAAACTGCATTTGGGAGCAGATTTTGCGAGTTGCGAAAGGAAAAAACGAGACTGTCTTTCCTTTACACACACCCCTGAAGATTGACCCTTCCTTGTTGAACACATTCCCAGGAATGACTCGAGCTGATCTTGAAATGGAAATGGCAGGCTGCGTTTTATTGCACTGTTTGTTGCTCAGATAAGGGGCACGTTGTGCACGTTCATTTTGATGTTGTTTTTTTGAATCCTCAAAATAAAAAAAAACATTAAAAAATCTGATTTCTTTAATTTCATCAAAGCAAAACATAATGCAATAATATTGTAATGAAGTTAAACTTGAACATTAAACATAATTCATTAATATTGTAATGAAGTTAAACTTGATCATTAAACATAATTCATTAATATTGTAATGAAGTTAAACTTGATAATTAAACATAATTCATTAATATTGTAATGAAGTTAAACTTGATAATTAAACAATTCATTAATATTGTAATGAAGTTAAACTTGAACATTAAACATAATTCATTAATATTGTAATGAAGTTAAACTTGATAATTAAACAATTCATTAATATTGTAATGAAGTTAAACTTGAACATTAAACATAATTTATTAATATTGTAATGAAGTTAAACTTGATAATTAAACAATTCATTAATATTGTAATGAAGTTAAACTTGATCATTAAACATTTCATTAATATTGTAATGAAGTTAAACTTGATAATTAAACATAATTCATTAATATACTGTAATTAAGTTAAACTTGAGATGGCATCGTACAACAGAGTAGTCACGTGACACGTCATTCTCTACAGGATGAACTGCACGGAAATGAACATTTAACCATGAAGGCTCAGTATGTATTTGTAGCCAACGAAGTCATTTTTATAGTATGCTATTATAGCTAATATAAATACATACAGCATGTGTTGCCATCATTATAAGGCTTATATAAAGCTTTTAATTTTTTGCGGCTCCAGACATATTTGTTTTTGTTTTTTTTGGTCCAGTATGGCTCTTTCAACATTTTGGGTTGCCGACCCCTGGTCTAGTCCCTCCCTCCTGGTTTACTCATTATTAGTTTGTCATGTTCACCTGTGTGTCAATTTACTTTTTGCTTTATAATCCCCCTCATGTTTTCAGTCCGTTGCCAGTTCGTCGTAGATTGTTTCCTGTCTTGTTGTGTCCAGCCCTGTCTTGTCCTGCCAGTCTAGTCAAGTTTGTTTGTTCGTTTATTTGTTTTATTAGAGTTTTCCCCCTCGGGGTTGTTTGTTTTGCCTTTTTGTTTTTATTTTATTCTTAATAAACACCCATTATTACCCATCCTCGCTCCTTTTTACCCTCACTGAACGTGACAGTACTTAGATTAGTAATGAATCTGTACTAAGACTGGTGACTTAGGGAAAGTAAACATTTTCATTTTATACATAATAACTGTAAGGTCACACTATATGACAACTTTAGGCATAAATGTAGCAAATTTGTGAATATATCCTCTTTTCCAATAATAAAACTAAAAGACCACATATGTTTTTTTTTTAAATGTAAGTCAGTACAACACTTTTTTAATATTTAATTTTCAAAAGATTTTTTAAAATAATCTGGCTTTTATGTCAACCACCTAAATATGGATTCAGTACTGCATAATAAAAATTAAAAAGGCACAATCAGGAAAGACAAGCCTTGTGCATTATAGGGAATAATATTCTGAATATTTTACAGTTGATTTCATAGATTTATCTGAAATGATGTTGTCCTTACTTGATTTTTTTTTTACTATTTAATACACACGTAACAAAAATGGTTTTGAAATACATGAAATACTTATTCTGAGTCTTCTAATTCTTCGGCTGCTATGTCTTTGTGCAATAACCATTTCTTGTGGTTAAATGGTTTAAATTTATTTTGATTAAATTATTTAACACTTTAAATGTAAAATTAAGCCTTGTGCAAAATAAAGGGCATGTGTCTATTTGATGCAGTTTGTTTTTTAAGCAATAATAATTATTTATTAAATTATTAATTAATTGCATTTTATTCAATTATTCATTAATTGTATTTTATTATTGTCTCCCCTAACCCAGACAGCAGAGTAAAGTATACTGTGTATTATTCATATTATTTATTAAATTACCCATTACATTGTTTTTGATTAACATCTACTCCTACATGCACAGTACTGTAAACTTAACAAATTATAAAGTAATACATACTGTTTCATATCATTTCCAAAGAATGTAAACAAGCAAATAAAATTCTCTTGGTTTAGTCTTTGCTGATATTTTTTAAATTGTGTTTACATAAATCTATCAAGCTAGCCAAATTTTTTAGTTGTTTGTGCGTTAAGTAATCTCTGTGCTTAACATTAGACTGTGCTGCGTAACTTTACAGTACTACCAATTTACTAAAGCATTTCTCATTAATACAGCTAAAATGGAAAAATTCACCACTGCTCGTGCTCCTAAAAATCTTTACAATGGTCTGGTGCTCCTAGTACACAATATGTTTTTTTTTTTTCTGGAGCCCTGTAAATAAATAAATACAAACTTACCTTGGTTAATTTTTATGACGGGCTCCATTATGCAGAGAAGTTCACGGACCTTAATTTAATTAGGTAATTGTAATGATAGACAAGACAGGACAAGAGCATGTATAACACGTTATGTTCTTGTTTCTTCTTTTTCCATTTCTGTCAAACCACACTCAGTTATCAGTGCATCACTGCCATCTGCTGGTGAGATAACAAAGTCCCACACTATCTTCAAAGCCAGAAGCCCAAGCAAACAGCACTGTGTACGAACATCTACTTAATATTTCATCATAACCTACAGTCCAACATTTTATAGTTCAGTATATTCATCAAAATAAAAAAAAAAATCTTAATATGTATAAAATTGGTAGTATTGTAAAATCATGTTGACATTCTTGTCATTCCAACTGGCGATAATGCTGCTAAATAGTCATCAAACAAGAAGAAGATAACTGATCAATGTTCAATGATCAATTGGGTAAATTGTCCGTAGTGTATGTGTGTGACTGAGTGTGTATGGATGTTTCCCAGTGATGGGTTGCAGCTGAAAGAGCATCTGCATAGTCAAACATATGCTGAATAAGTTGGTGGTTCATTCTGCTGTGGCGACCCCAGATTAATAAAGCGATTACGCCAAAAAGAAAATAAATGAATGAACAATTTATGGACACTCAAGGCATCCATGATCCTTTGGACAAGGAAGTTGTTTGGTGTCACAGAATTACAATTGGAGGCTTGGAGTTTGATTTAACTATAAATGTATATAGGCTTAGTATTTTTTATGCAACTGTACATTTTTAAAAATAAAGAGATAAATAACAACAAAGAGTTATAAATAAAATAACTCTAGAATAAATGAAAATTACAAATACAAAAACCTGAAAGTGGTTCAGCCTGGCCTGGATTGTGTGATCAGGATTGTGTGTCCTGTAACGTGGGTGGGTCTGCTAGTTTGCAGCTGGTAACACACGAAATCTATAGACAAATTACCATGTTTGTAAACATTCAAGATGCACACACAGCGAGGATGCAGAAAAAAAAAAAAAAACGAAAGCACTAGCATTTACAGCGAGGGAATGACATCCAATGTGGTACATAGTTAGCTGATGTTTTAGAAATGTATTTATATATATATATATATATATATATATATATATATATATATATATAATTTACATAATGCTTTCAGCTTATTATAACAGCTTGTTACCCATTAATAAACACAGTTATTCGCAAAATTAACAGTAAAGTGAGCAGTGTTCTTCTGACAGGTCCATTTGCGATAGCCCCCTCCTAATGGATATTGGATGAGAAGAAATGGCCAAGCATCCAGCCCCAAATATACAATCATTAAAGCTCCAAGTGTTTTTACATAAGAGAAGATCACCAGATTCAAAACTTTGTAGAGTTCAAAATTGAGGTTCTGACTAGCCAAAGACAAGGAAAGAAGACGGAGCTATACAAGGCCTGGGTAATTATCAACAAGCAAAACTGCATTGACAGCAAACTGCACCTGTATGGCAGGGTATGCGAACTTGCACTTTTACGTTTCATTCTTAGCATGTAGTGTCCGCAGCTTAATTAACCACATTTAACTGTTTTTGCTGAAATCATTGCTGCAATCAAGAACAAGTAACATGTATGATTCTGTTTAGCGTGAACTTACAGTACCTAATATGAAATGAAAACTGCAGAGGCCAGCATTATTAATTAGGTCATCACTTTATTTAGCTCGCTTTTTTGTCAAAGACGCTGCGGTTGGCATTAAAAGCAGTGTGGTGTACAGTAAAAGTTATGTTTTCCATTTGGCATCCTACGGCACAACACGACATGTTTTCTATTGCAACCGGGAACCCGTGTGATGTCATGTGTGACGTAGGTTGGTAATTCCTCTATTTGTAATATTTATTCATTCATTCATTTTCTTTTCAGCTTAGCACCTTTATTAATCCAGGGTCGCCACAGCAGAATGAACCGCCAACTTTGTTTTTTACGCAGCGGATGCCCTTCCTGCCACAACTCATCCCTGGGAAACTTTAACACACACTCATACACTACGGACAATTTAGCCTACATTACTTCACCAGTACTGCATGTCTTTAGACTGTGGGGGAAAACGGAGCACGCGAACGTAGGGACAACTTGCAAACTCCACACAGAAACGCCAACTGACCCAGCCAAGGCTCGAACCAGCAACCTCCTTGCTGTGAGGTTACAGCCATACCTACTGTGCCACTGCCTCGCCCGTAAATAATAAATGTAAGTAAACTTTATTTTGTCCTCTCAGATATTGTTTTAGGAGGCCTCTGATGTAGTAATTAATGATTTTTTATTATTTCTGTAAGTTTTTAGAGAAATGTAATATTGCAAAGTTGGGCCGAGTTATGAGCACAATTTCTGTATTTGTAGTCACTTTGTCTGAACAGGTATACAGAGCATTTAAAAATTTGTTTGCAGGGTTATTTACTTACTTAGCCCCATAACAGTATGTCATAAGTAATAATCACACACCAACCATATTTTTTATTAATAAGCATTTATTAATAAAAATATTTGGAAAATATATTTGGTCACAATCAATGTGGATTAAATGTGTTTACTTTGCATTGATAGTGTCCAAGGCAGTTCTTTTCCCCTGAAATGCACAAGCAACACAAATGAGGTTGTTGTCTGTTTAAGTCATGTAGTTCAGAAATGTGAAGGTGAGCTTTATCACAACATCACCTGACAGCCCAAGTTATTCCTTGATACACCTCAAAATCATAGAACATGCCAGAGATTCAAGATCTCACCCACAGTTTGAAGCCCCATAGGTGTGGTTTGCGATGAATATATTGTTTAATGTTATGAATCTCCTCTTGAAAAGAATAATCATTTCATCCACAGAGTTGTGTTCTTTAGGTACCACCTGCAGGCATCTCTCTCTAAATGAATTTAGCCACAGTCTGAGTTTTCAGAGTTTGTCCTTCTTTTCCATCTCTGATACAGTCAAATTGTTTATCAAGTGTACTGTGTTTCTTCCACCCAATACATATGGACGCCAGACATTTGCATTGGACCCATCTACGGGTACATCTTCTCTGTACATTCTCTGAGTCACTTGCATCCATTTCTAAATTGCTCTCTCTATTTTGAATGGCCCAATATGGTCTCTACTTATCATACTAAAAGGGACACATGCATCTCCCTTGAGCACTAACAGGTTCAAATTCAAGACCATTCACACTTGTCCCTGAACAATTCAACAGGCTACCACTTTACCACTACTCAACATTACAGAATTACAACATAGACATAATAAGCTCTAAATCAAATTTGATTAATGTTTTATAAAATAAACAAATATGTATGTGTTCTACACATTGTAATAAATACACAAAAAATAATAATTTTACATACTTAATTCTTGACAAATCTAGACATGCAAAATAAGAAAATCAGCTCAATGAGAAAATTGGAGGTAGCACAAGTTCATGGCTGGATGACCAGACTTCTAAACACATTATGGGGACACACAATAGGACCTATTAATCAAGTAAATGTGGTTTTGAAAACAAAAGAACAAAAATTAAACATTTGCTTTTTTGCATTTTTGCAGTTTTTTTTCAATTGGTAAAAGTGATGTTGTAATTCTGCAAAAGTTGCTTTTTCAGGGTTAAGGGTTATTTTCATATTTGTGTTATTGGTGAAATTAGATGTGGCTAACACACTGTGAGAAGACAAATATGTTATATTGTTTCGTTTGTCTTGCCTATGCCAAGACCTGTGATAATGGCAATCCATAGGATTGAGGGAATGAAGACATTTTTAGCAAAGAATTAAAGAGAACCAGCTATTTTTTTATCCACAGAATTGTGAAGAAGCATACTTAAGGGCCAGCTAAGCAAACATAAACAATTTACTTTGTGGCCAGCAAATTGTACTACAAGTAGTACAAAATGTAGGAACTGTGTAGAATGTACTTTAAGCTTTTACGTCTTGGGTACAAGTTCCTGCTCACCCTGTCTGTTACCCAAGTAGCATGTGAAATAAACTTCTCCACACTCAAATTTATTTTAAAAAGACTCAGAAGCACCATATCCAATGATCGCTTGAAGTAATTTATGTTGATGGCAACTGAAAAGGAAGTACATACGGCTTTAGATACAGTGTCAGGATTCTGCCACTTCAGTCTTGTTAATTCTTGTTTCGGTGGCAAACATCAGCTCCTTCAGGTTGTCCAGGAGGTCTCCAAGGGAGAAAAGGGAGAAAAAGACCATCTCAGCACGAAGCACCAGCACACTTGTTGCTCTCTAGTTCCATCTGCAGTCAGTAAGTGCCCCAGTCTTCCAATGACACACCAGCAGAGACAGAGGAGGAAGAATGAGTCAGCCTCCATCCAGCTACCACCCTGGCTGCAGCATCACCCCTGAGGCCACTGAAGACACTTCAGTTCTCCTGTCTGAAGAGGTGGCCAGCTTCCCGCCACTTAGACCAAGAAAAGTGTAGGAGAAGAAAGGCCTCCTTCACCACATCAGCACCTAGATACCTTGCTCCCAGTCCGGCTCCTTGGCCTGTCTGTACTACCCAGATGTCTTGCCCTGCCTGCACCACCTAGATGCCTTACCCTGCCGGCCCTAGCCTTGTTGCTTGTTCAGCCGACTCCCTACAGACCTCCAGACATCCAGCTCCCCCCAGACCTCCAACCCAGCCTGGTCCCCACAGGCCTCCAGCCCAGTCGGCTCGCCTCAGGCCTCTAAGATCAGAATAGTGCATAAGTATTTTCATTTAATTTAATTTCATTTAATTGTGTGCTTGTTTCTTACGTGCAGTTCTTTGTTAGTGTTGTGTTTAGCATGTGGTTCATGTTAACATGCACTGCATGCTTTAGTGTTTCATGTGAACATGCGGCTAATAAGTTCTCTCATTGGCTGCATGTTCTAGTCTCCTTTTATGTGAGCACATGGCTTGTATTGTTTATTTATGTCATGTGCTCTCTTGTCTATTGTCTAGTCCTACCCTCCTTGTTAACCCATTATTAGTTTATTCAACAACTTCATAGCACACACACCTAACACACATACTGTTACATCAGCTGATCACATGGTGCACACTGGAGTCGCGCTGTTATTATGGAGCTCATACAAACGCATACACGCACACATTTCACATCAGTAATCCCTGCATTTTCCCCACATTGGTGCGCTGCCCATACGCAGAGTGGTTGGCCAGCCGGGAAAATATGTTTTTTATGTAAGAGGGTGAAGAGACTGTGGAGAAAAAAGGGGTAAAAAGGGGTTTTAAAGACTTGTAAAACATGCTAAATAATTATTTTTGTGTTTAAAGTCTAGTAATACAAGTGACGTGTATGAATG